AAATTAGAGACTATACACTAAATATGCAGAGTCACGCACTTTTATCGGTATTGTGTTAAATACGATTTAATTTTTTATCGTACGATTCGATTTTTTATCGTACGATTCGACTCGTTGATTGTACGATTAGATTTTTTGATCATAATATTTGATTTTTTATATGAGAACTGCAGAAAAATATCATTGCATTGGAAAAAGTCGGGGAGGCTTTCTTAGAGCATCGAATTTTTTTTATGAAATCAGTTTGACTGTTTTTCCAATTTAATTTCATTACAAAAGTTTCGTCGTTATTCCTGGAATGGAAATTCAGAAGATGAAACGAAAACTGCTCTTAATGTGGAATCTCGTGATTTTTTTATTTGTTAAAAAATTTCAGCACATTTTTTTGCATCATGAATAAGAGAAATGGATTAGACGCAGTTATTTTTATATTCATTAGAAGAATATAAATAACTTGATCTGTTCTCACCCAAACTCTGTAACTTTATCAATCAAGTCCTTAACTGACGCTTGCAGGCATTCGCAACACGACTACAAAGGCCAAAAAATCACAAAATCAAAATATTTTTCTAACATTAAATTTATGATGCATCTGCTACAGGTTTGACATTGAAGAACTATGCTAACCAGCAAGACCTGCATGAAAGAATGTGACACTTCGTAAGGTTTATTTCTTTCATCATCCTCTAATATTAGAATGAATTTACGTTCGCATAACTCACCTGACATCCAAGGTTGTGGCCAAGCATAGTCACGAAGTATTCGACAGCCATTTTCTTTAAGAAATTCCATCCAAGTTTCTTCGTTCAGATTTCAAACTTGATTTCAAACATGCAGCTTTCAAGCCTATACAAGTTCTGGATTTTGGAGACGAGATATTGACGAGCCAAACTCAAGTTCTTGCTGGCGAGTTTCGTCTTCGGCAATTCCTCGAGGTCCAAGTTGTTAATTTTCTTCACAGCTTCCTGGGAATTGAAGCTGCACTCAAGCTGCAGGCTGGAGAACAAAACATTTACAACCTCGTTTACTGAGTTGGTCTTTGCATTTGGACCAATGACCGGTTTAAATTATGTTTTTAAGGGGTTGTTCTGTTAGATCAAGGACTCGATTATTGCATTTCCTCCTCAGTACGAAAAGTTGGGCATTGTGATTCACGGTCAAAGATTTAGACGCAGGCATTGTAATTAAGCTGTGCTCAAGAATTTTGAGTCAATAGTTTAGGTACCAAAATTTTGTTATTGGAATTTGTACGCACTATTTTCTGTGCAGTAGCTAAAAGTGCTGGACGTTTTTTTCTGAAATGGACGCTTGAATTTCAGATAAACTTTACGATAAAGTCACATGCAATGAGAAATCCCATTTCTATTCAAATTTTAGTGAAAGTAGAAGATGTTATGGCTATGAAACCGTTCTTTCTCTCCGCATTCCCGCAAGGAAACCTTGATCTCTTTTATTCTTAATTCTTAATCTCTTTTATTTTTCCATTACTTCAACCTCTCAATGAAATCTATCAAATTTGTTCGCAAATGTACATTTAACTCCCTAGGGGCTCAGAGCGCTGCACGGATAAATACTTTGAATGTGCAAATTTTGATTACTATTGCGAAAATTTCCGCAAATTTTTCTAAAAAAAACGTGGAATGAAAGGCTTGAATATTTTTTATTGTAGCTAGAAGAAGATTATTTGTTTCAGCTCCTTATTAAATTGAAATAAAAAGTTTGAAGAAATTTTTTGGAAATCCTGAATACGAAAAGCACAAGAATTTCATTTCGTCCCAATCAACCAGCCAATGGAACAACGAACTATTGATAAAATTTTTTATAATCGTAAAAAACTGTATAAAAAATTCTTTTCAGAAACCGAAAGCAAAAACACGGAAAGTGTTTTTGCCTATTGTTCTGTTCAAAGAGTTTACCATTACCATTACGTTTGCGAATAACCGTCAAGGAAATATTATCCCACTTGTAGCAATCAATAAATGTAATAGCAACTCATAAATATAATGTTACCGAATAACTGATACAGGTACGGCAACTTTTAACTATTGCAGGCGCACTTAAGTTTGCTTGTGAGGAGTCTGCCGGTGCGAAACTCGCACGAACTATTGCAAATCTTTGCCCCTTCTTTATGAGACGCTAAGGACGAAACTTCTGTTTTTTATTGCCCACAAGTGTTCAGAAATTCGTAGATTTATAAAGGTTGTATATTTGCACTTATGAGATTATAGTGACCGAATTACCACATGCGATTTGGTTTAACGCTTCTACCACCCACGGAAAGTTTACCGCTTTGCGAGGTGACTGTGAATTTTTTCACTGCTTTAAGTATGTGAAGAATATATTAAGAAAATATGAGAGTGGGCTGTTTTTACCGGTTCAACTCAAGACTTTAATTTACAACGAAATTAGTAGTTATGGCAACTTCCGCGAAAAGTAATTTTTTCCATAGGAATGCTTTAGCCTATAATGCTAAAACTTTTAATTATATACGGCTTTATATCCTTGATTAATTAATAATTTGCTCGACACCTAACCTAAAAAGGTTTGCTTATCCCGTCTTAATTAATTCTTTATATATAAACAAATTACTCTCATTAAATTTATATATAAATTTATATATTTATACTCTCATTAAGACTACTAATTATCTGAAAATAACCAATAATTTCTACTAAAATACATTGAAAATTGAATTAAATATAAAGAGGCATTAACTTCTGCCCATGGAATAGCGGACGAGAAATAATGTTTAGATCTCTCTTCGATGAGTTATTTGTATATAAGTTTCATTGCCATCGGTTGAATCGGAATCCCCAAAGTCAATTTGCAACAGAATTTAGTCTATTATTTCTTTTCTAAAGCTTCGAACTTCCCATCTTCGCGAAGGTCGATATAAACTCGAACAAATCCTTTAAACATCTGTCGGGACACTGAGACTCCAATTTCAAAAAGATCCTATGGACAAATCTCGATCCTTTCATCAGTAATTTTTCCTTAGATAATTGGTCGCCTGATCTTCTCGATCGTTTCTTTAGCGCCTCGGAGATTAGATTTAAATCGAGCCGCTCGCTGTGACTGGTCAAGTTTAAATACCGTGGCAGGAAATAATTTTAAGCGCATTAATTTGAAATTAAAAGAAAAAAATATAGAGCTATCTAGGATTCAATTCTACACGTCGAAAGTAATAGATTAAAAGTACATCTATCGCTGCCAGCGTGTTCAATGCTTCAAAAGGTTTTCCCGATGTCTCATTCAAATACACCCTTTCATTCTGGATCCTGTTTTTATTCTACCGAATTGAAGGATTTCAAAGGTCGCAATTGACTTGATTCCAATTTGCTTTCCGTCCAGCTGACAAATTAAGTTTGAAGGCCTCGAGCTTGTTTGTGACCTGTCCGAGGAAATGGCCCGTGTGCATTGAGAAAAATAAATGGTTCATATTGTATTAACAGTGACCCACTTTTTGCACGAGACACTGATACACCCTCGTGCCGAGCCAAACTGTGTCAGGATGACCCAAACAAGAGCAAAAATTGCATCGCTGATTGGACAGAACCTCCTATTTCTCTGAGTGTTGGGCCTATTTCTGTGAGTGTTGGAACTTATCAAAGGCATTAATTTTAATGTAATTAAAAAAACAATCTTCAATTAATTTAATTCCAATGGGATCATTGTCGATGTCATAAGGACTCAAAACTACGAAGAAATGTAGAGGCGCACTTATTGGAAATAGGTTCTTGAGGGTTTCGGAAGTATATATCCAATCATATATGTTGAATATTTTTTTTTATAAATTCAACTTATGCTTGTATTTATCTGCACATCATTGTGAGCTTCAGTCATATGAGAAACAGTAACCGAATCGCTCAGACTGGACCAATAGTTTGCCCTATAAATAACTTTAGGATTGTAATTCCCATGTCAAAAAATCCAAATCAATCCTTCCATGTTAATCCTTCTAATGGATTGATAAAATCTGATTTCTTCTATGAAAATCTATAAATTTGCATAGATTAAGATTAGATACACGAATCGAACACATCCATTTATCTAAGTATTTTAATAGAAGAAAGTTTACTTGCTATAGAATTTTTCCAATGCGCTTATAAAAATAGTGACACATTTTCTGCACGTGGCTTTGATGCGCTCTTTTTTCGGGCTAAACTAGGTCAGATTGACTCACACAAGGTCAAAAAGTGTATCTCATTTGATTAATGGCTGAGTATGCCGGTGGAATGGATTTCAGGGTTGGTTTGCGAATGGCGGTTTAGTGACAATTACACGCTTATATGAAAATTTTTAGAAAACTTTATAGAACTGTAATTAGGATCGAAAACCTAAAATAAGTATAACTCACAAGTATTTTGAGTCATTTCATGATGTAATGTTCGAGAGCTAAATTATTTATTAGTGCTTTGTATTTTCTCTTCTTAAAATATTTCGAAGCCAAAAATATTAAAGAAAAAGTGGTGGGATGTTAGAAGACCAACAACTTTCTCGGGCATTTGAGTAGCGAGGCTTTCGTCGTTTCATTAGCAATAAGATACAAAATGCAGCTGCAGGCTGTCAAAGTATCCTACAGTATTTTGACGAATGTGGCTGCTGAGTAGTAATCTTAGTAACGCCATCTTTCGTTGATTAAAAACCCTGGAAAGTCAGTAGGACTCCGGCTCGTTCCAGCCGGAAATTAGGCTCGTTCCAAGGGAACGACTTCGCCTCAAGATGCACCAGTCACTGAAAAGTTGTTACCTCTGCGACCTAATTCATTTAATTGAGAACAAAGATTAGCCTACATCATACTAGCAATCAAAATCGTGAAAGATTTTTGGAAAAAATATCAGAAATTTTATGGGTGATATTTTTCAACTAATGTAACAAAAATATTACGCCTACACCTACAAAGTTAGAGCCAAGGGATGAAATGAACAGATCAATTCAAGCAGGTGGCTTCAACTGAAAGTTGTTCACAAGTATCATCTGAAAGGTTATTAAAATCAGCAGAGTTTGTTCCATTTATTACACCAACACTTAACAGAGTGACACTCACAAACGCATGACACTGTTGATTAAGTCAATATATTGATTAATAAAATTGATAATTTTTATCATGTACTGATTTCCGCCGTGAATGTGAGGTAAATTGGGTGCTATGTTTAATTATTTATTTACTTTAGACCAATTAATGGAGACTGAATTGTGAATTATATAAGACATTATCCCGATCACCAGATAATTCTGTAAGGTTAAATTAATGAAATGAATTAAAACTTAATGTGACCAAAAACATGTTGAATGGAATTTATGACTTAAATCATGACTGATCCTGTGGTAAACGTTGTAAATATGATGTCTGAATTCTAGGAATCATGATTGCATTTCGATGATTAACTAAAAACATTTACTTGGTATGCGTGTAGAGCAACAGTAAACTGAGAAAACAAATTTGAAAAACCAAAAGTAATAAGAATAACGATTGAAATCATATCGCTGGATTAACACATTGCGCCAGTATTTGATACATTTCACTTCGCATTTATTCTGCTCAATACGAATAACTTGAGCTATTTCTCTCAACAGAGAAATAATGACATATATTCATTATAATAGAAAAGTAACCTGCAAATTCAGGTATCATTTTCAAAATTATTTAATTCTATGAAATTTGTCGCTCGTTTTACACTGCCTGAAGAGGCAGGATTTTTATACAACGTGTGCTCAGAAGCACCAACTGAGGAATCAGTTTTTATATTCGCAGCAATATCTGCTCTGACGCCTTGCTCAGTGCTCAGACAAGATCTGGGCCCAGAGCTGCCCACGACAAATCTGGGAACGCTCTGAAACCCTGAAATTGCATCGCTAAGAAACGGGAACTGATTTTCTACGAGCAACACTTCAGTGGTTCTCGTTGTTTCAATCTCGATTGTTGATGGCGTAGCTATATTTTCAAACGTTGTTCTCATACCTTTATTTTTTGCTATTGCTCCTGTTCTTTCGTTTATTGTATTTTTTATTTCACATTCAAGCAAATCAGTTCCTTGAATTTCACTTTCTTCCTGAATGGATCTAAGTTCGTTGCTATTTCCACGACTGGAAGTTTTGGGACTCGAGTTTAAAACTTCGCTGTTGTGGTCCACATCGTTGGCGAGGTTTCCTCTCCTGGCATTGTGTCTTTTCTTCACAATAAATACGGTGAGCAGCACGATGATGATCATAGTCAAGAGAGATGCTAAGCCCACAGCAACAAGCAAGACTATGATGCTGTTACCGCCAACAGCAGCACTGCTGGGCGCTGGTTTCATTGCCGCTGCAATGAAAACAAAAAACAGCTGAATTTTTTTTGCCAGGTAGTCAACTTACAATGAAGTCTCGAATAATAAGTTATTTGTAAAAAAACAGCTGAAAAATTTGTGCCAGGCAGTCAACTTACAATGAAAAGTCGCGAATAATAAGTTGTATGTAAAAAACAGCTGAAATTTTTTTGTCAGGTAGTCTATGTACAATGAAAAGTCGCGAAGAACAAGTTATATGTAAAAAAAGCTGAAATTTTTTTGTCAGGTAGTCAACTTACAATGAAAAGTGGCGAAGAATAACTTAATAAGTTATATATAACCAGAGTGTGGTCAGAGAACAATCATTGCGGTCTCATCACCATTAAGATATTACAAAAGCCTTCATTTGAGAAGTTGACCCACGAAAGCTATATAGAAGCATGCAGCTGGCTTCAGACCACAATCCTATAAGCTATGAAATGTTATTGCACAAATATTGTGGATTTTCAATAAAGTTTCGTGTCATAATTTTTTCAGAAAAAATGCAGAACTGACTTTCATATTGAAATTGGTATATATTGCTTAAACTAATTTGCAATCCTATAAATTTAACAAACTTTGTCTGAAATAAACTAAAGCGACTCAAAAGTGAAAAAGTCTTAGGAAAAGTCTCCTAATATTTAACTATAAAAACTTCAATTGTAGCCAGAAATCATCATTACACTCCATTTTAACCAGTAACGATATTCTGGATTTCAAAAAAGACCTCAAGAACTTGACTGCTATCTCACGCGCAAATTAATTTTGATTTTTCTAAGTTTACGTAAGTGCTGACTTTATTTGGAATATAAAAAACTTTACTTCACACAAAAAATGTTCAAATGTTTTCTCAAACTACTCGTTTAATTACAGTCTCACAAAATTGAATTATTGCAAATCATTAAGTTTTATTTGTAGGTACAATACTACAATGAAAAATCGATTCAGATAATGGCTGGTTATAAAAATATTTAAAAATATAACTCAGTACTCACTGCAGTGAGTGACAGAGAGCGCATTTTCTCGTCGACGAAAACTTGAGGTCACGGACGGACGGACGGACGGACGGACGGACGGACAGACAGACGGACATGGCGAGCACAATAGTGAATTTTTTCCATAAATGAGGAAATGCGCTAAAAACTATCAAGGAAATACACATATTTTCTCTAAAAAATAAACTATGACGTTTATAAATTTAGATCTCATGTCCTTTCGAATATAATGTTTGAAGAACAAATTATCCGAACCTAAAGTTTCTCCTTACCCGTTCTTTTCTCGAGAGCGTCAGTCAGACGGCTGATCTCAAATGTGTTGCTTGCAGCGCAACCCTGCGTGTTGCATGACGTCACGACTGCAACGTAACTCGAGTCAGGCCCCAGACCTCGCACTTTGAAGGAGGGACTCTAGAAAAAAATTAATTCATTTTCAACACAAGGCCGAAAGAGGGACTCTAGAAAAAAATTAATTCACTTTCAACACAAGGCCGAAAGAGGGACTCTAGAAAAAATTTAATTCATTCTCAACACAAGGCCTCGCACTCCGAAGGAGGGACTCTAGAAAAAAATTATTTCATTTTCAACACAAGGCCGAAGGAGGGACTCTAGAAAAAAAAGAATTCACTTTCAACACAAGGCCTCGCACTTTAAAGGAGGGGCTATAGAAAAAAATTAATTCACTCTCAACACAAGGCCTCGCACTTCGAAGGAGGGAGTCTAGAAAAAAAATTAATTCACTTTCAACACAAGGCCTCGCACTTCGAAGGAGGGACTCTAGAAAAAAATTAATTCACCTTCAACACAAGGCCTCGCGAGCACTTTGAAGGAGGGACTCTAGAAAAAAATTATTTCATTTACAACACAAGGCCGAAGGAGGGACTCTAGAAAAAAATTAATTCACTTTCAACACAAGGCCTCGCACTTCGAAGGAGGGACTCTAGAAAAAAATTAATTCATTTTCAACACAAGGCCTCGCACTTTGAAGGAGGGAGTCTAGAAAAAAATTAATTCACTTTCAACACAAGGCCTCGCACTTTGAAGGAGGGGCTCTAGAAAAAAATTAATTCACTTTCAACACAAGGCCTCGCACTTTGAAGGAGGGAGTCTAGAAAAAAAATAATTCATTTTCAACACAAGGCCTCACACTTCGAAGGAGGGGCTACAGAAAAAAAATTAATTCACTTTCAGCACAATGCCTCGCACTTTGAAGGAGGGAGTCTAGAAAAAAAATAATTCATTTTCAACACAAGGCCTCGCACTTCGAAGGAGGGGCTACAGAAAAAAATTAATTCACTTTCAGCACAATGCCTCGCACTTTGAAGGAGGGAGTCTAGAAAAAAAATAATTCATTTTCAACACAAGGCCTCACACTTCGAAGGAGGGGCTACAGAAAAAAATTAATTCACTTTTAGCACAATGCCTCGCACTTTGAAGGAGGGGCTCTAAAAAATATTATTTCCTTTATGACAAACTGCTTTAACTGAGAACGCTGAAAAAAATTTCATTTCTGATACAAGTCGTCGTACTTTGAAAAAGAGACTTTAGAAAAAAAAATGTATTTTGTGATACAAGGTCTCGCTCTTTGAAGGAGGAGCTCCAGAAAAAAATAATTAATTTCTGACACAAGAAGAGAATAAATTTCATTTTTAATCAATTTTTTTCTATGCTCCTTCGCTCGCATGTCTTGAACATTTTTTTAAATTGTAGCGTCATGCATGAGCCTTTCCTCGAATTTTGATCGCGAAATTCGTGAGAAAATAAGATTCTTTTTTGATGAAAATAAAGATTTTTTACAGCCGTTGCACAGTTGCAGTGTTGTTTTTAGAAACCCTAACTAATTTGGTTAAAATATAATTGCATCAAAAATAAAATTTCTGCCTTTCTACAACTCTTTAGATCTGCGCTACCGTGAATGATAGTAAAAACTTTTAAATAAATTTTTTCCATTTCAACTTGAAGCGACCCAAATTTAGAAGCACGTGCTAGCAAATTCAACAATTTTTGTTTTATTCTAAATGTTGCGCAGCCACTAAAGAAGTCTGAACAGAGGATGTAACTATTTTCACTCAAATTTTCGTTAAAATATATAGACAATAATGGATTACCGCTTCTTCAAATTAAAATAATCTCATAAAAGTTGATTAACTTTTGCATCGATTGCATCATGGAAGACAGCATGATTTGTCGAAAAAATTTGTAATTAGGTTAATATAAATAGAGTCAATGAACACGATGTTGTTACAAATATCAAAGAACAGACGATCGCACACTTTCGATAGTTATATCTTCATTTTTATCCTACTGATTTTCTTCGACGTGTACAAATGAATATCATAAAACTGGCTACAAATCTTTTTACTTTTCATTCAAGTTTCTATTCAAGACCGAACTATTTTTGTTACATATAATTTATAAAAAATAATTCATGTTGGGAGGATACACTTATTTTAATCCAGAAAATATACTACCGCCTAAAATTGAGAACTATAATTTGATTGAAACTGTTAGCCATAACTGTTTATTGGCCAGACCGGTTCTCAGAAAACCAATCGACCACAATTGCAGGTGTCAAAAGTTTGTGATCAATTAGTTGCTTAAACATCAATTACGTGCGTCTGTGTCATTGAATTAAACCAACAATTTGATGGCAACTTGAAAATTATTTTTGCGTCTGTGTCATTGAATTAAACCAACAATTTGATGGGAACTTGAAAATTATTTTTTAAACGACCAGGTTACTGTAAGAGATCAAACAAAGATTGAGAAATTTAAATGCATAGTTAACAAATATTCTCGTAACACGTGTATTATTGATGAGTTATCATAAAAGCCAATTAAATCTCATAACGCATAAAAAACATCGAAATAATAACTGGGAGGATCTAAATTAGCAAAACTTAGAGATTGTTTTTGGTGTGAAATATTCCACTCACCGAAGCTGACATGTTCACTAAGAGTCTAGAGTCGCTCGAGATAAAAACCCCGAGGCGCTGTTTCGACTTGCGATCGCTACTCTCAGCATCGATACCAATTCTGCTGCTATGATTTTTCCTTCCATTTCCAGGATCTTTTGCGGTCTTCTTGAATCCTCCAAAGCTAGCTTCTGCATCCGAGGCAGGATTCTTAGACCAGATATTGAGACGATACGTGACATCGAGTCCTCCGTCCGATCCAGAGTCGCATTCAATTTGCAGCATCGTCGCGGATTCAGTCTCGTGCTGGCAGTTCGATGGAGGACCAGGCTTCGCTGTGAATAAGTTCCACGAGGAGATTGTGATTGGCATGCTGAGTTTTACAAGCGTTTGTGCAAGAGGTGCCGAATAAAACTTTGAATAAAAATTGCCGTAGCAGATTGGAATAGGTCTCGATAAAAATTCGGCGAACAAAATTCGATTGGTCCAAATTAATTTCGATGGGAAGATGTCCTATTCAAAGATGCTGTCACGTAATATAGAAAGTGGATTAACTTGTAGAAATTGAAATAGTATAAAATCTAAGCACTTTATTTGATAAAAGATCACCTTGATAAGATTCTTATCTAATATGAGCACCTACATGAACTTTATTAACTAAGAACTCATGAATGAATTATGTCCAATAAGAGCATCAACTTAAATATTATCAAATAAGATTACATTAATGAATTATATCAATAAAAACACGCTTATTATATCAAAAAGATCACCTACATGTATTAGGTTAAATAAGTGTATCTCCCAGTCTTATATCAAATGAAAGGTCCTCCATGAGATGTATAAAATATAAGAAACAACATAAATTATATCAAATAAGAGAACCTACATGTATAATATAAAATACGATCAAATACATGAACGATATACGCTTATACAATGTATAATCAATGCAAAACCAATTCAATAATGTATTAATAATGCCAAACCATCAAATATTATCAATGCATTGGGAATATATTTTCAATGCTAAACTAATTTTTTACCTGCAGGAAAGACAGTGAAGACGCAAGGCTCCTTCTGTTCCCCCACCTCGTTACGCCCATAGCAGAATAGCGCGCCGAAGTCCAACTCGTTGCGGGGCACGAAAACAACCATGGACGTGTTGGCATCACGTTGCCGCACGTGTGCCTGTCATCATAAGGCAAAGATTTTGTTTGACAAACCAAGATTTTGCCTGACAAATCAAAATTATTTTTGACAAATCAAATTTTGTTCGGCAAACCAAGATTTTGTTTGACAAAGCAAGATTTTGTTTGACAAACCAAAATTTTGCTTGACAAATCAAAATTTTGTTTGGCAAACAAGATTTTGTTTGCCAAATTTAAAACTTTATTCGACAAACCAAGATTTTGTTTGACAAATCAAAATTTTGTTTGGCAAACCAAGATTTTGTTTCACAAACCAAAATTTTGTTTGACAAAATAAAATTTTAATTGACAAACCAAGATTTTGGTTGACAAGTCAAAAATTTGTTTGGCAAACCAATATTTTGTTTGCCAAACCAAAATTTAATTTGACAGAAAAAGATTCTGTTTGCTAAACATAGGTTTTGTCTGATAAACAAAGATTGAATCGACGACTGAAATATTTCCCCAAGATTCCCTCAAGGCCAACACTTGTTGTCCAATATTTGAACTTTGCAAATAGAAATCGCTCGCAGGATGCTATTAATCAAGCAACTGAGGGCTGACGCACTGATAAGGTTCAGCTGCTAATAAGGCTGAAGAAGAAAGTCTTTGAAGCAAATGCACTCTCATTGGAAAAAACACAGTCGTGCTTATGTCAAGAATTTCTGAATTTCGGAACAGAGATTTTAAATTATTCAAGAAAACCAGCCTCGAATAAGTAGTATGGATGGGATCATGCAGCTGTCAAAAAGTTTGAAATGGAGATTTTCAATCGTCAAAAAAAAAAAAAAAAGGAAATTCTCGAATAGGTAGTGGGGTGGGATCATGCTACCATCAAGAATTTTGAATAAAATTTTCAATCGTTTAAAAATCAGCCCCGAATAGGCAGTACGGGTGGGATCATGGTGCTATCAAGAATTTTCAAAGTTGATTTTTATTCATTAAAAAAGCCTGGAATAAGTAGTGGGGTGGGCTCTCGACGAACACTGAGTGAGGCCGTAATATTGGCTCATCGATAACCTATAACCTCGAATCCTGTCAATACCAGAGGCGTTTAAGACACCACTCAGTCCGGCATGCTAGCACGAACAACTTTTCTGCATTCTGTGTATTTTTCCTCCCAAAGAAAGTTATCCAGAAGCAATATTGGAAGCGGCTTAGACCGAAGAGTCTGATACGTCTCTTCGTAAAACTTTACTACCAAACTCAGTGTATCTATTCCTTAACTAAAAATATTCAATATTGGGTAGATTGCACACGCGCTCAGAAAATCGCTCACTACAGAATTAAAGGAATACTGGAATTTTTAAATATCAGTAATTTTTTGTGTGAAGGCATCATCACGGATGAGACCAAATGCATTCCACATTGCTAATATTCTAAGTAAAAATTTATTTGATTAATTAGTACGTAATTCATGAGCAAAACCATGAGTAAGGGGGTGTCTATACACACTCTTTTTTTGCTCATTAGTGCATTATTCTTACGTACATTAATCCGCAATTTCGCTGTGATGAACAATCAGAACGCAGATTTCTTTAAGCATTTTCTTTAAATCGGATTTTCATCCTGATTTTATTCATTAAAATTTAATCTACCAAAAGATCTCAAAAGAAGGCAATGCAAATTTCATTTCGCTCCTTGAGAATTCAAAACTTTGTTCGGGATCAGATACCCTCTAAAATTATTATTGTTTCCTCATTTTTTCTAAATTTGAAATTTATTATTTAGCCCCAGAATTTTTCCCAATTTCATTTCGAAACCATTAGCTTCAGTGGATATTTTTGGTGCGGCTGAAAGTTTAATTACTCAGTTAAGACAAGTCCGTATGGTCCGTTATTGGGAATTGATTCATTGCATCGCCGGTTAACTTTTTTAATGATAATTACGGTCGCAGGCACGCGGCATATTTTCTTTCTGCTCCCAATGCTATTCTAGGACGTGAATGTATCTGAAATTAAAAGTATCGTGTGGCAAAAAACTATTGATACAGAGACAAGCAATCCTATATGATACCATATAACATACGGTACAAAATATATATGATTACATACAAAAATTTTAAAATTAGAACAATTCGATGTAATTTTTAATTTAGCTTTAGCATGAACAATGGAAGTAATGACAAGAATAAGTATCGTTCAGTCCGTTTCAGGATATTTTTCCCAATTCTTCCGGTGGCCACAGAAGCTCTGACTTATTATTGATATGATGAAAGTTTTCCATCTGATGGATGAACTTCTTGCTCACTGTAAAATTAAGGCACTGACAGAGGCTGAAAGTCGTCCGACATTTTAGGAAGAAGTTGATCGTCGCAACCGGAGATAAATCGAGCGACATTTTATTGTTCTTGGCGGATCTAAAAAATATAAAACTTTTAATAATCTGCGGGCAGCTCCAGCTCCAAATTTTAGTTCACTGTCTGTTGGACAATTGTCAGTCGATCATGAACGACCATGAGCTTTTAATACACATTAAAAGAAGCCAAGATATTAATTACTGTCGGTCAATGGCATCAGAATAAAGCGGTAATGCCAGCCATGCCGTTTGCGGATTAAAAGAGAATTGAAAAAATGAACGGAATGCTTACGATGAATATCTGTGAAATTGTGATAAGAATTGACGTTCATATTGTTTATGCAATGAGGCATGTAGAAGCATAAGATTTGGGACCTTAGTAGACATGTATATATTTTCATTTGAACGCTTCGTACGAAATGAATTTTTTTGGCAAGCAGACATTAGTATTTAAGTAGATTTATTTTTTACTGTGATCTGTTGTATGTCAGGTTTGATGCAATCAGAATGATGTGCGTAATAGTAATGATAATTACATTATTCTATTACTATTATAATTATGTTATTTATTATCTTTTATTATTTATATTATATATTATAATAGTAATATTATATTGATTAATATTTTAAATAATGTGTTGAAAATATTTTCCAACTTGATTACTGAGTCAGTTACGACGTAGAACAAGATCTTGTTCTGCCTATTAAAGAGCAGAGTGGTTTACCTTAAATTAAAGGCATGCGGTTGTTACAAGATCTTGTAAATGTTTCTTCACCATAGTTTCCTAATTAATCATAGAGGTGTTAAGTTGTTGTGCACAACCTTTGCTTTGTTTAAATTTTGAGTTTGGGGTGCATGCGTTTTTTCACTTCTTCTGGAACGCTTTGGCCGGTTAGTTCAATCGCGTAGTAAAACTTTAAATGTAGAGCTTTGCCACTTGAATTAAATTATATAAATTACTTAAAAACTACAAAAAATTACTTGAAGTCTTATTTGAAACTTCGTCTGTTCCCAACTATTGAACGTGAAGTGGCCAGTGGCTAAAGCGATCTACCCTTTAAACCTATGGTGACACTTAATTTGAGCTACTTCACCTAAATTTATTCAATTTTCCTTTAATCTTAATCGTATTGCCATTATCGTCTGAGAGCACCAGTGTGGTGCACTTATTTTCAATTAAATAAGGTGAGCTACGCTCTTGAATTCTAAATAATATTGAAATCACTGAGAATACAAAGTGACTGAAAATTCATAGCTAAATTGTAATTCAAGTATCTATTTCGAAAAGTATAGAATCGAATAGAAGTGTCGGCACTGAAGAAATAGGCCCATGGACTTCCTTATAAACTTCTGGCGTCGCCCTCGCTCGTAAACGCTGCTTTCTTAAAATGGATTTACTCTCCTGTCTGTATTAGCTCTGAATGCAGTACAGGCAACTGTTGAATTTCGATTAAAACTACCGCGATTCATGTTCATTTGTTTCAACTCCCTTTCCTTAAATTTTAGTGAATGAAGACTATTTCTGAAAGAGGAATATCCTCGTGCGTAGGGAGGAAAATCCCCTACAGATTACAATATTATTTGAATGTTTTATGGATAAAATTAACATAAATGGTCATAACCCACTTGATCTATTCTCGCCGTGTGTCCGCTTGTGCTGTTGAAGGTCCAAGTGACTTCAGAAGGCCCAGGCAGCGCGTCCAGCGTGCATGGAACTGCCACCTTTGAGCCTATCGAGGCCCCTTTGACGCTCCAATCTTGTTTGCCACACTTTGGCGCATCTGCAGGGACATGAGTGAGGCTCTTCATAATTGGTAACGTGAGCGAACTTAAATATAGTAGCTTTAATATTTTAGTAAGTAGATATAATGAAGTTTAAAGCATTAGACTAGAGTGAGGGTGCTTCTGACAACTCAAGAATTGTCCATGACCAAATTGTCAATCTTTACATAGTACGAGGACTAAAATTACGACTGCGTTGAATGAATGACACAGTGAATGATTAATAGGTTCAGACCCAAGGGTGAATAATACTTAAGAATCGGGTTTGAAACTTCATTCCAACTCAAGTTGTACGATCAGATAATCCTTTTTCCTAACCGGTAACCCCAAACAGATAAAATTTACATTCAACTTTGCACAGGAGTAGCTTCATTTTTATCGTCAACCCACAGCAGAAAAATTTACTCTTGAGAACCAAAGCGAGGGCATAGGAAACGCGGTGCCGCGATAATTAGTAGCTGAGTAGATGTAGCTTTGTCTTTACTGTCACCTTAAGATCGACAAAACTTGCATTTCACTACCAAGCCAAGCGCTTTTAGAAGACAAGGTCGCAGGAGTTGATCAAGCATATTTTCTCTTTACCGTAAACCCAAGACCGACAACTCATATTTGACTACCAAGTCGAGGACGTTTGAGATGCCAGTACATATTCTTCGGTAGTTGGTAGCTTAGCAGATTTAGCTTTTTCCTTTCTCTTTACCTCCGATAATGCTAATAAAACTCACATTTGACTACCAGGTCGAGGGCGTTTGAGACACCAGTACCACGTGAGTTGGTAGCTGAGCAGGTGTAGCGGCCAGAATTTTGGTTGCTAACTCGTTGCATGGCGAGGCTGCGATTGCTGAGGATCAGGCCTCGGGAGGGCGAGGGCCGGATGTCGTCACCCTGTACAAGTTGCTCTTTATATGATTAATATGATAAATGATATGAAAATTTGTATGAAAAATGATATGATAATTTATATGGTAAATGATATTATTTATTTTCACGACCTATTTCTCGTAATGATTTTTAATATCTCATTGCATCAGACATTAATTGGATTGCATTCGCTGTTGTCGCAGAAAACGGTATTAATTCACACTTCAGTTGAGTTTGAGTGCCCTAATGCAACAGGTTAGACCAATTAAATTTAAAATTTTCCTTTAGTATTGCTGCAGCAGTTATTTCCGCACAGCTTTAACATTATACGCCAATTTTGCAAATACTCGTATATATGTCCGTAAAATTTTGAAAGCAATGAGTCAGGAAACAACATGAATGATGTTATTCATCTGGAAAGGTTCTATTCCGGTTAAAATCACTTAAAATATATTCTTCAATAGATTTTCTGCTTTAAATTATTCTGCACCTAAGTTGAGTATTAAAACTAAGGAATTTCAATTTGTTATGCACCCGATGTTGCGAACGGTCGTCACGAATCATTAAATATTCAGCAGAGACAATAAAGAAATAATAGTGTAAATAAATAAATTATATAAACTTCACAAAAAAATGTTCTTTGATTATCACATTTTGATAGATAAATTTGCCAAACAAATATTTTGTTGCAGTTCCTTATAGATGTTATTATATCATTACAACAGATCATGTTATTATATTATTTACAAAAATTATATTTCTTACGGATGTTATTATATTATTTAATTGCAATAAGTTAGTATCTTGGATTAATAACAATAATATTACTTACCTGACGTTGCCACCTGACGTTGGTGACGGTAGGACTCGCATCAACATCACACTCAAAGTAAACATCATCTCCTTCTTTTTTATTTTGTGTTAATAACATCAATGATATTACTTACCTGACGTTGCCACCTGACGTTGGTGACGGTAGGGCTCGCATCAACATCACACTCAAAGTAAACATCTCCCTCTTGCTTATTTTGTATTAATAACAATAATAGTATTACTTACCTGACGTTGCCACCTTACGTTGGTGACGGTAGGACTCGCATCAACATCACATTCAAAATAAACATCATCTCCCTCCCGCACATCACTCAGCAGGATAGACCGACCAGGCGAGAGCTTGGCTCTTGGCGCGTCTGAATGGAAATAAATTATAAAAATATAACTCAGTACTCACTGCAGTGAGTGGCAGAGAGCGCATTTTCTCGTCGACGAAAACTTGAGGTCACGGACAGACGGACGGACAGACAGACGGACAGACGGACATGGCGAGCACAATAGTGCATTTTTTCCATAAATTAGAAAATGCGCTAAAAAGTAATGTCACGAGTTCTTCGGTAGAGTGATAGGAAAATTTTGAGTCCGTCTAGGGGGTGACATGAGAATAACGGCATGAAAAACTACAATATTATTTTATTACAAGAGCAACTGATATCAAGTTTCGATATCAATCGTTGATACGATGATTACTTTCGAGCAAGCTGCAATATCTTTCCGGAATTATGATCACAGTTAATTGTAGAAAAAATTTATTATAAATGCGCTATTTTATTAATATCCACAATTAATAGTGCGCGTTAACGTTTTATTATATGGCATTTGTGTCTGTAGTGCAGGTGATTGAAATATTATTATGATAATTATGATTGCGATCATTATCAATGAAAAGATCTTCTAATTAATGTCTACCTTAATACTCACACTCAACACGCAGTATGCGTGACTCAGACAGCGGCTGAAGCCTCGGATGATGAGTCGCATATGTGCAAGTGAGTCTGGATGAATCATGCTCTGGATTCAACATCAGACTCAGCCTGGATTCTGTCTCAGTTCCATGTCTCATGCTCTGAAAATAATAAATAAAAATTGGCCTTGAATGAGTTATGAAATTTCTTTAAAATAACACTAAAATGTTGTTGAAACATGGAAAATATAGGTAAACTTAAACTTGATATTTTATAAATTTTAATAATATATTGTTAATGCATATTAAATAATATATATTCAGTATTTTTTAACTGCATGTATTAAACTCATAGATGATTGAATTAGAAATGTATTCATCCAGTGATGATTTGACTCCTCTAAAAATATTTCACATCACGCAATCTGAATATTATTCAGATATTATTCCGATTATTCAATATTATTCAGACTGCGCAAAGAATACGCCGAAAATCCAATGAATAAATGAATGAGGCTGAGATCCATTCATCTCTCCCAGCAGCACATTCACTTCACTCACATATTTTATTCAGCAAGTGTAGCTCACCGTAGCTCACTACGGTTGAGATAATGATTATTATTAAATTATAGAACATACTTCTGTGAAGAAATTAGGTTATCATCATTCATATCTAAATTTTATGGAATAAATGCTAAGCATGAAATACGTCTTGCCATCAAATTAATTAAACAGTAAATGGTACGAAAAAATTTTGTGTTAAATATATACCAAAGAAATATTAATTTACAATATATAATATATTACGAAATATCGTAAAATTCCTAATTTCTCTATATAATATAATAGAATTGATAGTTTTTGATGTAGTATATGAATAATATAAACATATAAGTATGCTGTATCTTATTTAATTTATCCGCAGAGCTGCCGAATAACATTTGTTATCACGTCCGTCTCTTATTCCAGTCAAAACTTTACTATCATAATGAACATCTTTATTATTTTAGCTAACACAATTACTGCTTCAACCGAGTTCGCGAGTTGGTCGCAAATTAAATAGGCTTTTGTTCAACACAAATTAAATTCTATTCACCAACGAATGCGACTAAAGATTTACTTTCTGAAAATGTATTCTCTCATTCACAAAGATCTTCCTGATTGAATTGTGAAGTTGTTTGGCAGCGGAAGATCGAATAATATTCGTCCGCATAACAATAACTCAATTCATGGACATTAATCATATACCTAAAGTCGTGGACCATAATTAACTATGAATTAGCTTCGATATTAATAATGGTAATCGAAAAAAGATACAGCATGAATAAGCTATTATGGCAGACCGTATTCACTGCCACTCGCATTCAAAGCGGTTCATAACACTCGTATTCATTACAACCTTATATGCAGGTTAATCTATTAATAAGACAATAGGCCAACACAATTGATATTTAAAGTGAATGGACTATATTAACTCACGAGAAATGTTATTTCGTGCATTACTTAAAGCACTATTCCAATCTAATACATTATTTAATCTATTAAAAAATTTGGAAACCCACGACAATATTCGAATCTGGCAGAGCTTGTCCATCTAACTTCCAGGTGAGTTCTACAGGCGGACGGTCGCCTGTCGCAGTGCAGACGAAGACAGTCACTCGTCCTGCAACCAGAGGCTGCGACTCAGGCGGAGACACCACGAGCAGACGAGTCGGGTTTACTGCAGACGAATTCAATACAGAAGGTGTGGAAATTAAATGCTTTCTGAAGCACCAACAGACGAGTCGGGCTAACTGCAGGCGAATAACAGGTTTAGTTACAGCAGGTCATGAATAAAAGGGCTTTTTAAAACACGAGCAGACGAGTCTGTTCACTGTAGTCGCATGGGGCTGGGGTAAAAACATGTTTTAATAGAGTTACCCCAAGCTCGGTAGAATTACAGGGCACGTTGAACTGTGATAAAAGTGAAGTAAACAGAAACGTTGTCACGAGTTTAATATTTACTGTGAATTCTGAGTTAGATGATTTCTTAAATCTTGGTGACCGTGTGGTGCATGACGAAAAATAATATCTTCCAGTATTGCCAGCTACTTGAATAATTTATATTTTATTATTTTTAATACAAATCATGAATTTGCACTTATAATATAAGGTAATATGACCTGTTGAGAATTTTCTAATCAATATCTGTATGTTATCAAAATAAATTGAAAAAGCGAAGGAAAAATAATGTTCACAATTCCTTGGGCTACATTAGAACCTAACAGGCAATTTCGGGCTCTCGGGAGCGATAATTCCCGCCCGACGTTTGAAAATTCTCTCCATCAAAGAGACTCGTCTTCCTTCACTTTAATATAAAATTAGTATCATGATGGTTTAAGTACAACCCTTTTAAACCCTTATTTTTGTATAAAAGCATAACTCCCTCCTCTGAAAACCGGAGGAAATTAGATTTTTTTTCAGCTTCAAACGGATTGCTAATTTACAGAATAGAATTTCCATTTCATTGTTAAAAGTGCTAGAACTCATGATACCATTTCGAAATATAAACTTTAGACTCCAGAAATTTCGCAGAAGAGATAGCTATTAAAAACAAGGACTCAACAGATCTACAACAGATCATCTATAGTTCGCAAACAACATTATAAAATACAATATAGGCGACTTTTCATTTTTTATGATCGCTGAAAAATTAATGTGGATTTGCCAAGTATTTGGATTTAAAATTAGGATGTGCAAATGTACATTGAAGGTGTTTTAAGTTTCTATCTGTATTAAAATTAGTCTCAACTAATAACGAATACTCACAAATCATATCCAGTGTAGCGGACATGACAATTGTTGTTGTCAAGTTGGAGTTCGTGACCTGACAAGAAAAGGTTCTGTGGAGATCTTCTCTGCCAAGGGCTTCCACGACAAGACTGTTGCTGTGCACGCCGCGCTCATGCTTCTCCGTGGTGGAGATTCGTGTTGGGGAAATGGGAGGAAGTGAGTCGAGTGTACTCAGCTCACTGTAGCTGGGGAAATTTCCCTCTGCTCGAGGAATTTTGGGATGCCGAACGTGACCATCGTGCGTTGGTACAATTTTGGTTGGCCTTCTGAATAAATTTGATGAGGATTCCGACTCGTGGTTTGAATTTCGCTTGCGTTTAGTGCGATTGCTTTTGACGTCAGAAAACTTTAGTGGTAGCAGCGTATTGGAGGTATTTTGATTGCTGTTTTCTTTCGTGTGTTCTTTCATGATTCTCAGAAATTTCATTGAACTCAAGTTCTCGTTGTAGACAGGATCAGAACTTGAAAGTTTGGCTACATCAGGATTCGAGAAGTTGCTGAACCGATCGATGGTAGGAGGTTTGCTGAGACGTAATTTTGTTTTATTGAGTCTTCGGGATATCGGCAAGTTTTGTACGAGGTTCGACTTCAACGTAGAAATATTTTTATCTGCAAAGGCATAATCATTCAAATTTGCTGATATAACGTCGGTTGTAATTGGATCTGAAATTTCTCGGAAATTGTTTTCCATTCTTAGTGAAATAAGCTGTCCATTTGGGTTTAATTTCAATAACTGCATTTTGCTGGAGTCTGAGTGTCTCCTGATGTGATATTTTTTATTAATTTCAGTTGTAAAATATTCATCGTCACCAAAGTTCCTACTCGTGGATCTTTTAATCCATCTATCATGTATTCTTTTCCGGTGGAAAATTTTCGCTGGTTTTACCAAATTTTTCAAAATTTTAGTTAACTTTTTCACAGCTCGTTTAATAGATATCGGCTCGATATTCTTGGAAATTATTATATTGTCAAATAGATCCTTACTTTTTTCAGAGGCTCTTTTAATTTTTACAGACTGAACGTTATGTTCTTGCTTGGTATTTTCGGACATCTCGTTAGTTCGTTCATACTCGAACCCTGCACTGGAATTCTGTTCTGAAAACTTCAGATCATTTTGCACTAATTTTTCACTAGTTTCAATGTCTTTAGAATAACTAAGGTTGAATATATCTTGATAACTATCAGACTTAACCTCAGTATTAAATTCTTTACTAAAAACAGATTTTTCTTGCGTTTTGCTTCGATTTTGACCGATTATATGAGACTTTTTGAGCCTATTAACAAAGTCTCTATGTAATGGTAAATTTTCATCGCTTGTTCCTGCAAACTTTGTTTCACTGACTTTATGTTTCCGTCCACTTGGAATATCTCTTCTTTTTTCTTTCTTGTGTCGAATGTTATTGATTCCTTCACTAGCGCGGTTCTCGACAAATGATTTTTGCCCTCCAGGGTCGACGTTGTCGTTCACATTTTCTTCTCCTTTAACTGGCCCGGGTTTCTTTTTTTCATGCAGTGTTTCGTGAGTATTTTTACCGACCCCTTGGGCTCGTTTTGAGTGAGCAGAAGGGTCGAGTCTTCGGTGGCCGTCCCACCAGGATATTTGGGGCTCAGGTTCACCGCCTTCTGCGTGGCAGGTTAATCTTAGGGTTCCTCCTGAGAATAAGGGTTCAAAGGCTCATTTATGGATTTATTGAGGTTCTTTATATATAAAAAATTTTATTCACAGGCTCTTTATATGTAAAAAAATAAAAAATTTAAGGAAGGTTATTATCTAAAAACTTCAATTTAAAAATGGGGTTCCCCTTTGAGGGATTGTTATTTCGGATGGAGTATACAGAGCAAATACCTTGTAAATCATATTAATATTACAACGAAATTTAAAAATTGTGAAAGTAAAACGGTATCAAATTGAGTTACCTTCCACCAGAGGTCCGACGACCATGACATCTGAAGAGTTAAGCTGAGAGCCAGAGCTGGAACTGCTGCTGATCCATACCCTGCCGGGCGGCTCTGCGACACAAAGATTTCCTGCTCAGTCTCGCCGATTAGCCATAAGCGCAATTAGTTATTTGCATACGGAATTGTGATATATGTCGGCTGGTACATAGTTAATCCCTCACTTTACTGTTAACTTATTCCTCACATTAAAAATGACTTATTTCTGCATTCGAATTTAATTTCCGGCAAACAATTTAGTGGTGACTAAACATTGAAACTGTGAACTCTTAGGTATAGGATTATTTTTTATTATATTCATGTCATAGAGTTTAGTTTAGTCAAGAAATTGGTGCATCTACAATTTTAAGCCTATAGACAGTGAATTAATTGATAATAATATATCAAACGGAAGCAGCAATCTATCAAGCACGGAGACAGTAAAAGCAACAGTGAGAGTCGGTCAACTCTTGTAGGTACAACCTACCGACCACAGAAAGTCTTACACCAGCGATGAGAGTCAGTAAGTCTTGCAGACGCAACCTACCGACCACTGAGAGTCGGTAAGTCTTGCAGACACAACCTACCGACCACTGAGAGTCGGTAAGTCTTGAACACGCAACCTACCGACCACTGAGAGTTGGTAAGTCTTGCAGACGGAACCTACCGACCACTGGGAGTCGGTTAGTGTTGCAGACGGAACCTACCGACCACTGAGAGTCTGGCAGCTGCAGTGAGAGTCGGCCCAGTTTTGTAGTGCGCAGTGCATTTGTAAAGACCGGAGTCAGCCCGCGTTACGTCATGTAATGTGAGCGAGTACCGCACAGGGTCTAGGCTGGACCGAGGACTGATGTGTGAGGACCGCCAGTGGGACGGTGAAGACTTGCCCGGTCTTGCATCGTAACTGGAATACGAAGCGATCTCATCTGTATTTGGTTGATCGAAAATCATGTTTACGATGACAATTTTGAAAATATTTTTTAAACAGCCACTAAGGCATGAATCGTAACATAAATTGCAAAGTTAAATTCAATACCTTAAATTCAATACGAAAATGGTAATTATCTTAAATGATGATTATTTTGTTGAATTTTTCAGCGATGAACCCGCATTTAAAATGATCATTAATGTTTTTCACTTTAACGGACTTCAGAGGTTTTAGTTCGCATAAATATTCATCGCCCCTGTGAGTCATTAAATTTGTACGTACTGCTTCTCAACCCGAATTATTCACACCATCAATTCTTGTATATATTCTCTTTCCCGTATTTTTAACCTATGATATAATTCCTTTGTGGCAAAGTAGTACTGTTGAAATTGCCTATTTTCAGCTCCTGCACGACGAAATAATTGAAGTCACTCGCTTACGCTATTCTATTTCTCCGCAACTCGAATTCTGAAGTCCTGAATAATTGCTAAGGCATCTAAGTGCAGGGCGTTGGCTTAAGTTTGATTCTTAATAAATAATTCTATCGAATCGCAAACTGAAGTAATTCTTCTTCTGTGATTCGATTGGTATTTACTTGTATTATTTTGCGAGAAAAGCTGTATATGTAAATTAATTTTGTATTAGATTTCGTTGTATGTTATTTAACGAAACCAACAAACACGGATGAGAGGATTTACACGTGGTGATAACAATACGCTTATCTACCCTCAGTCTTACATACCCTACCTGTGGTGATAACACTATCCTTATCTACCCTCAGTCTCAGAGACCCTACACGTGGTGATAATTCTACCCGTATCTACCCTCGCTTTCTCAATAAACAAAATCGCCATCTTGACCAAAGATTGCCTGACTCGAGGCTATCGTGCTCTCTAGTAGTTAAGGTACGCAGAATAAAACGTTGGGATCAGCATGAAATATTGCAGGGCAGCATGGAATGTACTCCCTTAGATGGGAAATAATTGAACTCTGGATTTAAGATTGCTTATAACCATGCAATTTTAGTTGTGATTGAAAAAATACACAGATTTTAGACCTCCCATCTCCTGGATATCGAGATATTTGAACATGAGTTTATTCCATTCTAACACAAGTCACCAAATTTAGATGAACATTCGCTCGTTCAAAACCCTTTCCATGTGATGATTTTAATGCATGAAGCTGCCACATTTCATCAAAACAAGTTGTCTCTTAACTATAAATCGTATTTGGTGGACCTCAGTCATACGCTTCATAACCATCATTTATTAAAACAAAATTATCAATAAAGGCATCGAAACTCTACATTAGGCCATCTCTAGATCTCGTCTGTCACGTCTCTTCTTAGTCTCATTTTTTATCAGCGTTACGAAATAAGGGGAACTTTTGTTCGGGTTTGTTTACTGAATGAAAAGATTGAAGAGAATTTAGAAAGTTGGATTGAATCGAGTGTGTAATTTCCGCACCCGCTCTATTGGAGTTCACAATGAGTTCGGATACGTGGTCTTGAAGAAACAGTTAATTGCTTATATCTCAAGCCGCAATGACATGTCTATGCTTCTAGTCACAGATACATGTCTATATCTCAAGTCATACTTACATGTCTGAATCTCTAATCAAAGATACAGGTTTATATATATAGGCAGTGTTACATGTATATGTACATATATATACATATCAAATTTCTGACTTCTGGCGTAGTAACGAAAAAAATTCAAAAAATTAATTCAATTAAAAAAATTAACCAAAGCGCGTTGGAAATTTTATTCTGCAAACACCTGAAATTTTGTCTGGAATCGAAGTTTGAAATTCAGTCACAAATTTTTACCTTGATGAATTGACATGAAAAATATCTGAGCCAACTTTATATGACAGTTTTTAAATTTAAGTACAATTGTAACGAATAAGTAAACGTTTCATTTTATCGATAAGAACCAGCAGTAAAAAATGATAGAAAAATAGCAAATGTCATTGCAAAATAGTGCAATTCCGAGCATGACATTTTATATTCTCATTGTATTACCATCACTATCACTTCCGAACAGCAACAGCAAAAAACATTATTCTGAACATCATCTTGCTCGGCATCTCATTCTGCTCGGCATCTCATTCTGCTCGGCATCTCATTCTGCTCGGCATTTCATTCTGCTCGGCATCTCATTCTGCTCGGCATCTCATTCTTCTCAGCATCTCATTCTGCTCGGCATCTCATTCTGCTCGGCATTCATGATTTCTTCCGATTAAGGGCTTATTGGTGCGGATTGTAAATGAGTTCAGGTCGATCAAAGATCAAACGGGTTCGAATACAAATTATAGTTATGATGTTCGTTATTGTCTTTACAGCCAAACTAATTGATTCAATTACCATGACAGCTTGTAAGAGCTCATGTAAAAACATTCAATGCCCAAACAAGTCCAAACCTGGCTCAAAATATCTAGTGCCTTCAGTTCCAAAAGCTTAAAACTCAATTGAATGGTTCAATCATCATAGAACTGAGATAATTACAGAGGTAAATGTTTCGATAAGCCAATAATAGCAGGATTCTCCGTCAGCAGTTGAATTTAGCAAACAATTTTACCAAATCTCGCGGCTGCCAAGTGAATCCCGAGAGGAATCGATTCACGATCGGTGCTTCAGTTAATTTCAAAATGCGTAGGCTCGGACAAAAAATTAAATTTGAATGCGAAAATACCGTAACTTTCCGGAACGTTTGCGTTATATATGATGCTACACCGCATTTGCAGTAATTATGATGCTACACAGCGTTTGCGTTAATTATGATGCTACACAGCATTTGCGTTAATTATGATGCTACACCGCGTTTGCGTTAATTATGATGCTACACAGCATTTGCGTTAATTATGATGTCACACCGCGATTGCGTTAATTATGATGCTACACCGCATTTGCGTTAATTATAAGCGCGTAATGCCGTGGTGTGTTTGAGTAGATTAGATTATTACCGCGATTAACTGAAGGTTGTGGGATTAACTGAATATTGTAATTTTTTGTATCCTGATTACTCTAGTGCTGATTTACTTTCACCTTCATATGATTGATTCCTTTTTCTTTGGGTTCATTTAATAATTTAACGAGAGTTCCCGACTCGTGCGTGGACTTTCATCAAAGAATATTATCAGACTTTCAATGAATAAAATGCTTAGGGTCACAGAAAACTCGCAATATTGCGATGAATTTATTAAATCATTATTAGGGCATTAGTATTATTGCCTCAAAGTATCTAATGCAATAAATGTTGCGAATTTACGCAAAGAATTTTTGTTCGTTCTGAATTTATCCTTAATGAAGTTTTTATATTTCATATTCACCTCACTATTTCATAATTAGCTCGAAAAAAAAACAGTAAAGACTGAATAATTTTTTGAAATGTGTTTATAGAGTTCCAGCCAAAAGTATCATTTACGTATGGCAATGATACGAAGAATACAAATATGTTTTAATATAAACATAAATAATAAACTAATACAATAAAGTCAATAATAATAATAACTATAATAATAATAATAATAATAACAATAATGAGATTTATCATAAAGGATACCGACACAAAATAAAACACACACAAAATCGGTACCACAGTTCACAAAAATACTTGTGAACTGTGGTACCGACATCAAAATGATGGCAGGTATCGAAAAAAATAGACTGGTATAGAAATGAAATACAAGTAGAATGAAATTGAATACCAAATACCAGTAGGCTGGTATCGAATTCAAAGAAACATATAGAGACTGGTATCGAATAACAAATATCTGTTTTCTGGTATCGGGAAAAATACCTGCAGACTGAGACTAGTATTACAATAAAAAAGTATATACAGACATATGGTATTGAAATAAAGAAATCTATATACTGGTATCGAAATAAGCGGCTGTAGATTGGTATCATCGTACGAAAACCTGTGGACTGTTTTAGATTTAAGAAATACTTGTAAAGCGGTATTGAAATAAAAATACCTGTATATTGGCTTGTCGCCATCATCTCTGTACCAGAGCAGCAGTTGGGGAGACTGACGCGGAGGCCCACGTAGCGGGTGCAACTCTTCTGAAAGAGTTGCATTTCTTCTACCCTCAGATAATGTATCCTTTGTAACTGATCTATCCTTTCCTGGGTGATGGATGTCATCCCTTAAATAATTTCCATCTGCTGGGAGATGTTTAGCATCCATTAAATTATTTATTTCCGCTGAGCGATGTTCCGCATCACGTAAATAATTTTCATTTGTTGGGTGATACACTTCATCTTTTAAATAATTTTCATCTGCTGAATGACCACTCGAAGTTGAATACTTTCTACTAGAGTGACCACGACTTGCCGCTTGGACATCACCAACAGCTGGGCGAAATTCTCCTTCAATTAGGTGGACTCCACCATTGGCTAGATGACTTTTTTGACCTGCTGGATTGATGAGAAAATATGTTTTAATTAATAGAAATTGCCTGGTAATTATTTGAAATCAATGTAAATAATATTAGCCGATTTTTATTAACGAAGAGCTGTCTTCGTTCATTGTAAAAGATGCAGTTATTTAGCATTGACAGCCAAATGTAAGTGTAATTGACTTCGTTGATAATATTTCAAACAAAACTCAGAGATCAATACTTTCTGTAACTGATGAAAACTTGTACATGTAACATGCTTATTAATATCATTGAACTGAAGTCTCCGGCATATTGAAAAATGCTCACCTTCAAAAGCTCATTTTTTTCGGCATTGACAACACTTGAATCGCAAAGCGAAACTCAAAACGCATAGGAAAAAAGCCCACTTAACGAGGAAAGTAATTTTAGCAGAGATATTCGATATACTTTATATACTTGAATTAATTAAACATAAATTTAAGGAAGGCAATTAGCTCGAATTTGCTAGTTCGTGTCTTTCACATTGATGGCTAACAGAGATCGTTTTAGATTTGAGATGCAGAATAATCATTTTTACTTCGCACTCACCTATATCTCGCCACAAACTTAGCCTCGAAAGCGCGATTCTTGCGTCGTTTTTATCTTCAAGATCGATAGCTCCCTCATATATTTTTTAGATTTGATATGCATTATAATCATTTTAATTTCGTACTCACGTTCATCCTGCACGAAACTAAGCTTCGGATTAATTGTATGTTCGCTGTTTGTAGCTCCGTTAAATATATGTTCGCTGTTTGCTCCGGAAGTCGCGTCGAAAACCTGGGTCGGAATTCTGCAAGGCAGCTCGACTGGCGAGCCTGCTACACCCATCACCGACACCTGCGGTGCTGCAGAAACATTTTCATGAAATAAATTTCACATCGAATTCTTTATCCATCAGAAATAATTTCTGATGGATATTCTGATTTTGATGGATTTTCTGCAAGATTTTCTGCAGGATTTTTTGATGGATTTTCTGCAGATTTTCTGATTTTGATGGATTTTCTGATTGATGGATATTCTGATTTTAGAATAATTTAATGTAGGCTTAGGTGTATTTACGTAGTACTGGATGAAAGTATTTGATGGGACTGCAAATAACGGAAGTTCTGGATGAAAAAGTGTTATTTAACAAGTAATTATTTACTCATGAGATTGTTGATAAATGTGAATTACTTAAAGAATCTAAAGAGATTCATTGCAAAATTCATCACTGCGATTCAAGGATGGCTTCCGGTCCAAGGGCAGAATCTTTCAATTTCAAAAATTCTGTGAATAATATTCAAATTAATTAACGAAAAATAATATTAAAATAATTAATAATAAATAATATAATGATATTAATAATATTATTAAATGATGACCATGGGTGCGTAGATATAATAGGCTTTTCCTAGCTATTTTCTGCTATATCAATACACAAGATAATAACAATAATGCAAATATTTCAAATGCCAGTTAAATTTGACATAATTAAATTCGTCCCAACTTGGCCAGGATCTCATTTGAATTTGCTTTGTTGGTCGTTGGCATCTCGTATGCACGTGTAATTAGAACATAGAAATTCTCATTTCAACTAAAACTTATCGGATACTTTGCTGAACAATTCTAACGTACTTATGAAATCTGAAATACCAAAATCCTCTGATATTGTTATGTGTTGGTGAACTAACAAACGTTAAAATAACAAACGTTACAAAGTGTTGAAAGCTTTTAACATTTTAAGGGATTTCATCTGAAAATCTCGAATATTTCTAATAAATTCATGTGAATTAACAAAAGTCACCGTGATTGAAAAGCTTACAAACACTTTAAATAAAGCCATCTAAAATATTTTAATGCTTGTATATTAAAGTTTCAAATTTATAGTTTGTATCATTAATGAATAATTATACTTTGCCACATTAACTACGTTATATATAGTAATGAAAGTTTTTTTGTTGTTATTTGAATATATGTATAGTTGAGTTGGGATATCGAGTACAGAAATATATATATTTTTATATATATTAAGCCAGTGTTGCAGATATCGACAAACCTTATGAATATACCATTGCACGAGGATTTTAAAATAATTGAAATATTCATGAAGCGTTGCAAAGCTTTTGATTCTATTAATTCTAAAAAAATGTTTTCTACAAGCTCCTGTTTCCAAGCGCATCTGGTAGGGAAGTAGCGATAAATTATATTCTAAATCAGACTCCAGCGCATAACTTAACTTAATTCACCGTAATCTGATAAACTCAAAAAAGACTCGCTGAATGCGTTTGCTAATGTGAGTTCTGGTGTTTTAGATGAACATTTCAGCAAGCCATTTAATTCAGCGCACCTCAGAGTTCATTTAGTATGTCTCATATTTTTTGAGAATTTCTGGAAGAAAGTTCAGTACTCAGCTTAATTTTTTCAAGTGTGTTATATCATTCTTGACAATTTTTTCAAGCCACTAAAATGTGCCATATTGACTTTTGATTTTTTGATTAATTCAACATTTATTACAGCAACTTCTTTACACAACATAGTACTGGGTTATACTAAATGATGAGCCCAATTTAAAAAATCCGTTTTATTTAAGTATAAACTTAAAATTTTTAATTTATCCACCAATGAAAAGAGGAAAATTAAAAAATATTTCAACCTATTCAAACGCGGAATTGGGAAACCATAGGTTGCATTTCATCTCTTAACCATGGGTTGCATTTCATACTTAAATGAAACGAAATTATTTCATTGGGTCCGTCATTTAAAATAACCCTGAATAACTTTTGAACATTTCTACAAGTAACTTCAGTAGACCACATAATACAATTCCCGAACATTTCTGCATGCCACTTCTGTACACCACATATTATAATTTTCTAACATTTCTGCATGCATCTTCTGTACACCACATAATATAATATCCGAACATATTTGCATGCCACTTCTGTAGACCACATAATACAATTTCCGAACATTTCTGCATGCCACTTCTGTACACCACATATTATAATTTCCGAACATTTCTCCACGCCACTTCTGTACAACAAATAATCTGCATGGTGTGGAGGGAAAGGAGGCCTCCACGGTATTGCTGTTTGCCAGACTTTCCAGGCCTGCAGTTCTCTCCGCATTGCAGCGAATATTTACACCACAGCTCTCACAGCTCTCACAGCTCTCCTTACAGAAAAAAACAAGAAGACGAGAATTTTTTTCAATAGTCGTACTTGAATGCGGGAAAATCTGGACTCAGACTTAGTCAATCAAATCAAGTTTTGTTGTTTCCAGGAACTTGCCAGGTTTTCTGTTTGTTTTTGCTTGTCGTAAAATGATTTCACCCAAAAATTAATTGAAATTCTCAATACATTCAGTTGTTTCGCATTAATAAAGTTTTGGTAATATAAACTAAATATTACATTTAAGTTCGGATCTAAAAAGGTATTTTAAAATTTTTGCCGCAATACAGATATCTATTATTCGATCTTTTCGACTTCACACATATGAACGTTTCAAAATAAATGTAAAGTGTGAAAGTATTAATAAGAAAGTGTGTATGGAGTCTCATTCAGTACGAAGAAATTCACGCTTGAAAGAATTTTTTTACCTGCGCTGATAACAGCCGCTATTTTTTTGAGAATGGCGTATGGGAAACAGAGCAATCACGTTCTTATTCATCTGCTGATTTCATAAATGTCATCGTCGAATAAATAAATTTATGAAGTGATACTTTCGTTCCGAGATCAAAACTTGACATGTAAGTTATGATAAAAATTAAAAATTGAATCGAAATTTTTTTAAATTCGTTGTTCACAATATTTTCCCTTAATTAAGAATTCGTCCCGTAGAAAACTGAATAATTTTTTTTGAGAATCATTCTTCGGAGGAGAGCAGACTATAACACGGTGTTTTTCCTTCGTATTTGTGTTCACTTGTTGGCACTAGAATTGGTGGGAATAACAAATAAATCACTTATACATATTAACAACTTATGCCGATGACTGTTTAATAACTCACACAGAAAACAAATCAATAGTGCAGAAAAGACGTTAGATACGTTTTTCTAGACGTATTGCAGAAAAGACGTTAGATTTTAGAAAAATCGGATTCGACATTATGAAGAAAAAGTTCGCAAGGAACTTGAAAGCAAATCAAACGCCAAACAAATTTACCATATCGATATTGAAAACACTTAACGTTTTCAATATCGATATGGTGAATTTGCTTGGCATTTTCTTTGCTTTTAAATTCTTTATAAAGAGAAACAGGTATTAAACAGGAATAATTGTTAATTATATAAATATGAAACATGTTACTTACAAACGTAGTCGTCTTGCCCCGGGTACCGAGCTAAGATGGACTCGTCCACGTGGCTGGGCTCTCTTGAAGTGGACGTCAGGTCGTCGGATTCCGAAGAATCCACAACCAAATTATGATGGATTTTCTGCTGATGCTGATTTACTGTTGCACTCTCGGACGAAGGATGATCATTTACAGTCATGATTTCAGCTGCCGAGTTTTTTTTATTGTCCAAGAAACTTTGCTTGCGCTCCGGCAGTGAACGACTCGAAAACGACAATCGGTCCGTAAGGGAAGGATCTGTCAGACATTCACCGCAAACTGTACTTTCTCCTTTGTTATTTCTTTTAGTCAATTCAAACTTCGATTTCGTCGAGCGTTTTGGGAGATGATGTAACGACGCGTTATTTGTAACTCCTTCATTTTTTCCTTCACCGAGACTTACAATCGTCTCGTCTTCTGAGCTTGGCTCGCAATTCCTGTGACTTGAGAAACCACCTTTTGCAACCGAGACTTTATTTGCGCGTTTACTTCTACGCTTTATTATTTGTGGTAAAATATCAATAAAGGTATTCTCAGACTCGCCCTCTTTGCTACGAACGTCCGTTGCCCTAGAACTTCCATGCAGCTTCTCGGCATTTGTTGGCAAATCAACATCGCGAAGTTTTTGTGCTGTCTCCTTGAGTGGCTGGTAGAGGCCATTTTTCTTCACAAACAATTCCTCGCCCGCAGGGAGGAAGGTTTCTTTACTGTTTATTTCAGTATTTTCAAAGTCGGCCACGTAGAATGTATCTGAATATTGTCCATCGTTCAGAGATTCGCTAATTCCATGTATTGGAAAATTCGATAACATGTTTACTAAGATCAATAATTTAATCGTATATTTTTGCAATGAAATTATCGAGCCCGACATGATATCTTTAGCCCAACAAAAATATCTTACCGTGGAAATTTTGACTAAGATTATTTGATATCTGAAGAAAAATAAGCAATTAGTTCAACAATTAAAAACAATCAATTATTATTTGTACATACCTTATAAGAGATATAGTCTGAAATTAAAAACAAATATAATTTTGATTTGAATTTTCATTGACCAAATTTTAATGAGAAAAAATTAATGTATAATTGCACTAAATTTCTTCTTCTCTTTCATTTCATTTAAAATAGCCTCGAAACAAGTATAACGAACACTTAACGTTAAGTTTGTATAATTTAACGAAATAAACCCCGCGGAAAATGTGGATGACTGCGATTCTCATGCGTTTCAATCGAAGCGATCGAGGTTATTTATAATTATTTATCTCATAACAGATATTAAAAACATAGTTATTTCCTATCAAGGCTCGCATTATTATTCTATTTTATTGAACTTAGTCATATACAGCATGATTGTTTTGCGGTAGCATTCCACGAATTTTTTACTTTGAGCAATAGCTATAAAACTGAAGTCAATATAAATGCGTTTTACTTCAATACAAAGTAATACTAGTGCTATTGCTTTGATTCTCAACCGTTGAAAGAACTTTTCTAGTCAGCGAGGATGCAAACTCACTGCAAAGATTACATGAAATAAATACTTCAGTTTCCGTTCAAGCGAACCTTTCATTTACCGTAGGGGCTTCGCAAAATGCGCATAGTTGTTGAAGACAAAAGATTCCCCACTCGTTGATGATCATAAAGAATTTCCCACTCTTCGATGAACATAAAGAATTTTCCACTCGTTGATGAACATAAAGAATTTCCCACTCGATGATGAACATAAAGAATAACCCGCTCTTTGATGAACATAAAGAATTTCCTAATTGTTGATGAACATAAAAAATTTCCCACTCGTTGATGAACATAAAGAATTTCCCACTCGTTGATGATCATAAAGAATTTCTCACTCTTTGACGAAAATAAAGAATAACCCGCTCTTTGATGAACATAAAGAATTTCCCACTCGTTGAACATAAAGAGGTTACCCCTCGTCGTTGAACATGAAGATTCCTCCCTTTTTGTTGAACTTTAAGTTCCCCTCATCGTTGTTGAACATGAAGAAGTTTCCCACGTTGTTGAGCATAAAGAAGTTCTCCTCATCGTTGTTGAACATAAAGAAGCTCCCTCGACGTTGTTGAACATGATAGAATTCAAAGTTGTTTCTCATTGTTGAAAATAAAGCCTCTTCGTTTCTGAACACCAAAAATTTCTTCTTTGTCGTAAAACATAAATAATTTTTCCCCCAGTTGTTGAACGTAAAGAAGTTTCCCCTCGTGGCCGACAAGCTTTGCTTCATCAAGTCTTTGAACTGCATCACTCAGGTACTTGAATTCTCTAAGGGCATCCTCAAGGTTTCCGTCAGAGAAAAATTCTGTTGAACCTTCCGCCAGTTTGTCAAATTCTGTCTCGAGCCGCCGTAGTTATTTTCAAGACACGTGCGAGCATTAAAGCGACAAAAATCATTGTCTCCTGCAGTCTGTCAATTTCAGTGAAAATTGCAAAAATTTTCAAGAAGTTAAGGGAAACATATGTCGAGGATAATAACAATCAATGTGATTTTTTCTAATAATATTATAATAGAAACATTAAGATTTTTTGAGAGCTTTGCGTGAAAATAAATGATTGAACGCTTTGAATATATATAGACTAAGAATTAAAAAAACAAAGCATATGCAGATAATTCGTGTTATTTTAATTAAATGATTTTAGAGATAAATTTCTTATCAGTTTAAAATTTATGAATTTTTTTATTATTGATTTTTTTAGCTGATGATGGTGCAGGTCTCTGGAATTTTTTCAGTGAAACTCTGGCAAATTTCCTGTCCTTTTCCCTTAAAATAAACTTTTACTTAATATTAAACTCATATAAATCCTCGGCATAAGTTGCACATGCAAATCTTCCTGAATATCAAACTCGCCACAGCATCACACTTGCCGCAAAAAATCTCTCGTTGGCCCCTGAACTTTTAACCATATCATCAAACTCAGTGAAGACTTAGAACTTGAGTAGTTCTTGATATAAGTTTCCTAAGGTAAAATCTGCATGAGCCTTTAGCTACTCATGCAAACTCACGTCACATATGAAGCACACGGTAAATTTCCTGCCGCAGATGAAGATCAAGGCGGAGGTAAGCCACATTGACTGTATGCGACGGATTCTATTAAAGCCAAAGAGATTCAAGTCTGTAAAGTTTAGATGTTAAAATGTAGCAAAATGGCTTTAATTTCCAGCCAGGAAGATTGTGAGCAGCGAATTTCTAAACAACTTGTTATTATTATGCAACGGACATCAGCCATTTCTTAAGAAGTTTTACAGCATGCGACATTTTGTAATTGTAATGTATTTCTTTAAGTAGCAAGCTTAAGTTTTATTTAGGTTGGTACCATTTCGCAATTGAGATTTCATAGGTTCGCAAGAAAATGAAGTACTGATGTTATAATGTAAGAACATTTTTATCTGTCGAATTATAATTTAGGCCAATGAAATATTTTAGTATGGATTCCACTGACTTGAAACTTTTCAGAGAGCTCGCTGAAAAATTCATTAAAATTTATGTCACTCTCGAATCTCCTTGCAATCAAGAATTTTCGCTAATTACAGAAATTTATGACGCTTTTTACACAGGAAGTTTGGACCAGCCGATGATGGCTTTTCATCAATGAAGTTTGCAAGAGCAGATGATGAATTTTAAAGGACTGGCATTTATCAGAATATTATACACAATATGGTGACCGATTTATGAAACTGCAAAGTTTAAAAAAAATCTTTAGGTATCAGCCAAACATAGTTTGAATAAATGATGATTTAATAAATCAAGATATAATAAGAACCACATAGATGGAACCGAAAATCTCGATAAATTAACAAGAAATAGAACCTGTAGATTATTTTATCATGGCGGTGGATTAGTGGTGATGTCGAAAATTACTCAAATAAAACAACGTTTAAATTAGTATTAAAATTTTTTTTTTATCAGAGAGGAAGAAGAATTTTTGAAATCCTTGTAAGTGAATTTTTATGTATTATGTGATTGTATGATGATTATACGTGTTATTTGAGATCTGTGACATTCATCATTTGAAGCATCAATCACATTTTAGTTAATATTTGTACACACTAATCCTATTTCCGTGATCTGGTATGCATTTTTGACTCATTATTCGCTAAGGAAAAATTTATTTGTATGTGTGTTCTCTTTAACGATATCGCAGTAATACAATTTTACGTAAAAAAGATCATTAAAACTAGTTGGGAATCGTTCAAAGTTTGCTTGAAAATATTTATTTTTCTAGTGGAAAGTTTGATGAAATTCCAGGACCAGAATTTTTATCTGAGAGAAAATATACATAAAAAAATTTAATTTTGACCCTCCGAATTCAAGCTCAACGGTAGGACCTCATACTGCTGATTCACGTCGATTTCGTAATGTAAATGGATTTGTCTTGCATCATAATACGGAATAAATAGTTTCCCGTTATAAAATGAATTGCAATATTCATAAGAACTTACATTATGTGTATTAATAAATCTATTTTTTATTTTGTCCAATATGTTTTGTTTTGTGTATTGTCATGTTTTGTGTATTGTCAAAAATTAATTATTTGCTGTGTGTACTTAGTTATTAGAAAATGTTTCAAGATAAAGTGTGTTACACAATGAATGTTGCCATGAGGCAACATGAATGCAAAAGATAAAAATGTTTGAACAAATGAATGTTAAACAAAACATTTTACCATTCCAATGAATATTCTAGCAAAACATCCACATGGTTACACTGACGCGTTCTTATGGACGAAGTAAATATTTTTATGTTATTTATTTTATTTAAATCATGACAACGAATTTTGGTCACGAGTCTACATGTTTGAAAATATCTTGCTTAGCCAAGACCAATATATCTTGCATGACTAATACAATCAGACTTTTCAGAAGTGCGACGAAAATTTCGTGCCAATTACGGTTAGTATTTAATATATATAACTAAAACATGGTTATTTATAACATTTAACTATATACAAATATAACTATACCAAATATGTCTGGCATTTTTTCTATTTGCAAAAAGTCCCGAATCAAATTTCGGAATTGCAGTTTTGCTACTTTCTTCTTCAAGTAAAGGCCGGAATCTGGGGCTATTTTAAGGAACTGGCCTTAACTCACATCCACCGAGGCCAATATTTGCGCCTACAGAGCCTCATTTCTGCATCAGCAAGGCATTGTACATCGCAACTTCTGCGAGAATATTCCAAAAGTTCGCCGTTTCCGATTCTTGCTAGTCTGGGTTTTTTTCCACGAATAACCGCTGGCGCAAGAATAAGAGCTATGAATATCCCGGCGCTCCATTGAATGAACGTCATTCTTTCTTCAGGCTGAGGTCGATGAATCAACAGAAAATCCTATGTTGCAAATGTTTCGCTTGAGGGCTGTTGATGGGTATGAGACGGCAGGTTAGCTGGTACATAAGACCAATAATCATAATTCAATAATTTTACATTTTTACTATTGAAATGAGTTTTCAGCGGCCAGAAAATCTAATTAATAAATGCATTTTACAACTTGAAATTGTTGTTACGAATATTTGAATTGAATACTTAATTTAGTTTTTTGTTGCATGCGGGGTACACCTCATTTCTTTTATTGACCTGGCTCTGGTATAACTAGGAGCTCATTGCTCCTTTACTGCCCTGGCTCTGGTATAACTAGGAGCTCATTGCTCCTTTACTGACCTGGCTGTGGTATAACTAGGAGTTCATTGCTCCTTTACTGACCTGGCTGTGGTATAACTAGGAGCTCGTTGCCCCTTTGGTGTCATCCATCAGAGATTAGCTCACTAATTCAAGCCCTCGAGGCTAATGTCCTCGGCCACGAGACCTTTGCCTCCCTCGAGACTTGAGGCAACTTAGAATTCCCACAAAATTCCCTCAGAATTCCTGAAATTCCCACTAAATTCACGGAA